TCACAAAGATACCTTTATTTTTGAAGGAGCCATTTCTGGACTTTGACTGTTACTAGGTACTAAAATATAGGATGACATTTTAAATCTTGTTTGTATACACTGTATTTACTGGTTTATTTTCAGAGCTGCAGGATGCTTCTCCAGACTGACAGACTGTCCTCTCAGTTTCCACCCAGACCTCTCAGTGTTTTGGTTTTCCATCTGCTCCTCACACACTCCTGTAGAGGTAACACACACACCAATACAGTCATGAACTCACATGATCCTTTTGGATTGAATGCAAATCCAAAATGAAATGGGCATTCATATATGTTATTAAATGCTAAGATTGCTATTGAGTAATTTTCTTAAATGCAGGCGCCAACCCAAGGTCTGAAAAGTTAATAAAATATCCAGCAGAGGGTGACTGCTCTGCTTTCAAAAAGAAGTCAGATTGTATAGAAGTGTATGAGAGGATGAGCATACTGCGACCTGATTTATTACTAGGTTTTATTTATCAGTGTCACTCTTTTACAATACAGCATGATATGGATTTTGTTAATTATGGTAAAATTAAGAGTAAAATACACAATACAAGGACAAGGTCATACGTGTGAATAAAGGTGAATGACATTCAGCTTTGATAAGATTTGAACTCCGAGTGAAGCAAAGATACAAATATACTTGGCCACCTAAAGTGAATGTGTTTCCATACCGTTTGCTTGCATAGGAAAGTGAACAGGATGCGATACAGTTGGGGTGCTATAATGCAAAAGTAACAATTCTGATTGTATACATGTCTTTTAAAATATGAGCCTATTACTCACTTGAACATATTCCTAATGACTGTATTGTCTGAAATTATATTTATAGGTTTTCATTCATTCAGTATAATGTTTATTTGGTAGATTATGGTCTAATATACAGTAACATAGACGAAAAAGCAGGCTATGCTTCTGGGCTTCCTTGTGATTGAAAGGTCTCTACCACAGCATTGTATGATTGTATCGTTCTAAAACCTACAAACTGCTTTAGCTACAGTTGAAAATGGTGGCATTCATGTTTTAAACTTTACAATGTTTCTCTTTAATAAATTGAATAAATAGGCAAAGTGTATCTCTCCTTATATACAGTATATTTGATCAATAATTAAACCTGTCCCATAATAATAATAAATGCAGTTTTGGGGCTTAAAGAGATGATTTACCCCACTCAGTCTCTTATACAAGGTGTAACAACACAGCCGGTACTAAACTACATCTTATTGTTTGATAACTATACAAGAGGAGCTTTAGGAAAGCTCACCAATAGGGTCTTAACCCTTATCTCAACAGCTTTGACCAATGCTTTTTAAATTTTAAAAATAAACAAAACTTTATTAAAACACATCCATTTCTTTCCAGGTCAGTCTCAGTTAATGGGTCCTCCTCAGCCTATAGTGGCAACACTTGGACATGATGTGATTTTGCCGTGTCACCTGGAGCCTGAGATGGATGTTACTGCAGACACGTTGGAGTGGACGAGATCCGACTTAAACCCAATATTTGTCAACGTGTTGCGTGCTGGTCAGGACCTCCAAAACACCAGAAATCCTTCCTACAAAGGGAGAACCTCGCTGTTCAGAGATCAGCTGAAGCATGGAAACATTTCACTGAAACTCTCCAAAGTACAACTCTCTGATCTGGGAACGTATACATGTGATATTCCTCTAAACTTTAAACATTCGTTTGTTAAGCTAGTTTTAGGTAAGTACACTCTCAGTTTGTGTTCATGGTGGAGTTTGGTGTATGCTTTGTCAAAGATGCAGTATTTATGTTTTAGAACCTTTAGAATGACCTAACGGCAACCAGTCAGTGTTATTCATGGTTACCAACATTTAAGTATTTTAATATTTATACGATGATTATTTGCAAAACTGAATTGATTTAGTAAAGCTTTATTGGCAACATTATTGTCTGATCCTTGATTTCTATGGGTTTAAACTACTCAGTACAGGGTTCATAAATAAACAAATAAAATATTTACAATTAAGTGGTTACCTAAGAGAGGCAACTGAAGATTTGGAATCCGATTAATACAGAAAAACACTTAATTAATTAAACATCATGCTACATCATCATATTGTAGAGATACGAAAAGGCATATCTTAGTTATTAGCCTTGCACACATTTCAATTAGCACATTTCTTTATTGTTGCCAGTATTTTGACACAATGACACTCTTGTTTTAAACGTGTCTCTTCTGTCCAGCTTCAGGTCCTTCCTCTCCACCTGTCATCAGTTTATCAGGGCTGGACGGTCAGAGCGGAGGAGTGGTGCTGCAGTGTGAGTCTGCAGGCTGGTATCCGGAGCCTGAGGTGTTGTGGCTGGACGCTGAGGGAAAGCTCCTCTCTGCTGGACCTCCAGAGACAGTCAGAGGTCCTGATGACCTCTATACTGTCAGCAGCAGAGTGACTTTGGAGAAGAGACACAGCAGCAGCTTCACCTGCAGAGTCCAGCACCACAACACCAACCACACCACACAGACACTCTTCCAGGTTCCAGGTAGACATCAAAATACAGTTTCACCTGCAATGATTCTGTCTAACATGAAGTATAGTTTTATATAAATGTGTTTTCTCATTTATTATTTCAGACGCTTTCTTCATAGTCCCTTCCAGCTGTTCTGCTTCTTTTGCTGTTAACGGTTTGTTTGGATTCATGTTAGTGATCGCTGCTGTCCTTTTTTTCTGGAAATGGAGACAAACCAAGAGAGGTGAGCAAAATACATATTGAATTTGTTTATATTTATAATGCATTAAGCTTATGATAATACTGCATGCATATATATTATTTTGAACATTCATATTGTGTTATTTAAATGTTTGTCATGTGAAGGAAAATAAATTATGCTTCTTGTTGATTTCTATATGCCATCTTTGAAACAATCCCAAGGTCAGTAATTTAACGGATCGCATGTTGATCAATAAATATGGTGGATTATTTTTACATTGTCCCCAAATTGTAGAGCAAATTTTTGACTAAAATATTGCATATATAGGTGCAACTGATTGTATTTCATATCTTGATTTTATTTCACACAGGGACAGAGAGAAACAATATGGATGAAGTTGATAAAAAAGAAAATAACTTCTCTAAAGATGAAGACGAAGAAATAGTACATCTGGTAAAGACACACAGCACTGCTTTGAATACAAATCAAAAACTAAAGTTTGATCTCAGTAAAATGATTGAAAGAAGATACAGGCTCTGCCAGAGATGCTAGAAAAATATGTCTTATTGTGAAGAATCTTCATTAGTGTTCACATTGTCACTCTTTCACAGAAGAAGAAATCAAAGCAGCAGCTGCTTGAGGAAGCTGAGAAAAAAGTCCAGACTCTGAAAAAGGAGCCGAAGGCCAATAATAGAAAGGTTCATCTCCACTTTATATTTATATAATACATTTATTTCTGTTTAAAGTCACCTTAAATGTCGTCCATAGTGTAGATAAGGTCAAACAATGCATTATATGTGAATTAATATGTGTCTCATCTTGTCTCTCCTAATCTTCCTGCTGTTCTTTCAGGTTGAATCTAAAGAGTCTGAGCTGCAGGGTCTCCATGCAGAGAAACAGAGGAACAAGAAGGAGCTGCAGAGCCTGAAGGGAGATCTGAAGAAAAAGAACAGAGAGGTTCACGTCTTCATCTTTTTCCTTATGTATTTATTGTAAAAGAGAAAAAATCCTTTTGGGGAAAACCCAAAACAAATCAGCATTGAAAGAGCCAGAGACACTGAATGGATTAACGAACACTTCATCTCAGTAGCATGTGACATAAAGATCCAGCTTGCTCTGTATTTATGTTTATAGAATGACCTCATGCTGTAATGTAGTACTCATGTCTTCATGTGTGTATTTCCTGGCTAAAAAAAAACATTTGCAAGGTACATTTTAAGAGTATATTAGCATAAGTCAAGGATCGGTTACCTCCATGTTTGTAGTCTTCTTCTCTCTCTTTGTTTGCACATTGCCATGGTCTGTGTCGCTCTCATGTAAATCCTCGTGAATTTCGGAAAATATCCAGAAAACGTGAACCCATA